GTAATTTTTCCAAAAATTAATTGGATCAAAAATCTAGTTTCTCATTTTTAATGCGTATGTGATTTTGTTTCAAGATATTCAAATTCATAAACAAATAAATTTATGTCGTTCAAAGAGTCTCCACATCTGGCCACGAATGTGTTGTAGTACACATTTGGACATGCTTTTTCTTTCCTTTTTCTTTTTTTCATTAAATAATTTTTTTCTTATTAAGACTTTTAATTCTTTTTGATATTAGTCGTATACCTAATTCGTTCATGCTTCTTCTAAAACCACGTTGATACAAATTTAAGATTTTCTGTGTAACCATGAAAATTTGTTTTGGTATACATTTCAAAGCTTTCTCGGTTAGAAATAAAAAAACGAACTTTAATGTCAAAGATTGCACGAAATTCTACTCTTTACGATCTGTATTTTTATTTTATTTGTTTGGGGCTTAAATATCTCTCACTTTTTATGGTAAAAAGAGCCATAATTAAATTGTTGAAATTCGCAACCCTTAGAACAGACATAATATCATTCGGCATGCATATGGTTTTTCTGTCTTTTGTGTGGGAGCACGTGTTATCGTCCTTAATACGATAGATTATACTATATCAGAGAATAAAATCTTACATTTTAATAGATAGTAATTGATGTAACAAGAATAAGCATTAATGTCATCCCAAAATTTCATCGGAAATAAGAGGGAGACTTATTTTATTTTCTTTTCGTTAATTTAAAAGAGAGGGTTGTTGATATATAAAAATAACAGGAATTTTAACATATTTACCAAAAAGAAATAATAATAACAGGAATTAAACATCTAGCGTATCACAATATAAATTAGTAAATATTTTTTGGTGAGTTTTTAATTATAGTTAATTCTCGAAAAAAAATAGCTATATACACTAAATAATTAATATAGATGTAATTAATTAGATTTCTAACTATACAGTCACATAATAGTTGATTATATTTACATTAAAAGTAATTCAATAAAACCAATTAATATGTTTTAAAATTCATAATTTATCATCATTATTTCCTAAAATCTACACTGAAAATATTAAAAAATCAATTTTTATGAAACAATATTTTTTCCAGAACATTAATCTTTTAGAAACTGTTAACTGAATAACCACATATATTTACATTAATATAGTTGTTCTATTAACATATTACCTATATTTCTATTAAAAATACATGTAAACGTAAATAACTCTTTATATATCTAGTATAAGTAAACTTTATAGTTCATTTTATATAAAGAAAACTATATATATCGACATAGTTGTTTTGTATCGGTAACTAATAACTATGTTTGTTTAAATAAGTAATTATCACAACAACATTTTTTACTTTTACGTAGTCAACTGTTAAGGATAAAATAATCCCCTTCGAGATGGATGAATCACCTGTCGCCACGTGACATGGTGGGGTTCCTACCATCTCAAATGGAGTTTATCGCTCAATGATAGTCCCGAAGACATGCTTTGAGCTTGACTCTACAATGGCCCTTGCTCACATGAGAAAAAACCCATGCCCGACAACCCCCAGTAGCTATTCGGAAGAAAATAGCCCAGGGCGAGTAAACAAAAGACCCATAATGGGGGTACTTCCACTCAAGAGTGGAAACATGGCCCGAGTTCTCCTATCAAGGGCACGGACAAGGTACAAAATATTTTTTATCGCGCCTAAAATAGTCTTTCCCTGTCACCTAGTATTTGAATTCCTGTCGAAGGGAAAACCATCTTTACTTTATGCGTGTTAGGGTAAAAATAGGTGATGTAGACAACGACTAAAGCTGAACAAAATCGATTCCAAGAGAGCATCCCGAAGTCTGAACCGGCGCGTTAGACGCCACCAACAATACGAGGAGTTACCTCAGCATAGCAGAACCGTAGCATCATGAAAGTGGCATAAAAAGTCAAATAAAGTGAAATAAAAGCACTTTAGTGCATCGTACTGATTCAGACCCATGAACCCATAACCAATTCAGCTTTGAGGCGTAGAACCCGTTATCCGAATCTGGACAGATAACACTCTATAAATACTCCATATCTACTCCATAATGAGGATCAAATTATTGTATTGTTATTCATACTTGTGGTGAATGGGATGACTGGGTTTAAAAGCATGCTTAAGGTTTCATGGAGGCGGTTTGACCACGAATTTTATTGGTTCAGAGATTCTTATCGCATAAGAGCATTTCTAATAGTCCCTCATTTTGAAAAAAAAAACATAAAAAATGAGGAAACCAATGGTATTTCAAAATGAGAGGAAAATGAGTT